GGCGAGTTTTAATGTTCTGGTTTCGTTTTTAGTTGAAGTAGTGACGAATGATCAGAGCGATCATAAGCAGAGGTCGAGCAGCGGAAGTATAAGTATTTTTTCGAGGATGTTTAATAAGAGGAATCATGAAGTTGATGCAGAAGAGCTTAAGAAGTTGAGGGAAACAGAGAATAAGATTGAAGAAACAGAGAGAGAGTTAGAGTGTGTGTATAAGAAATTGCTGAAAACAAGAGTTTCTCTTCTTAACATGCTTAATCATTGAGATTGATTTGATGTAATTTTGATCACTTCTTCAGTTTAATCTTATAATCTCCTCCAAAAACTCCAATTTAATATGTGGAGAGCAAGTCTTGTAGAGGAATTAAAATTCGTCAAGAAGAATGATTTTTGTAGTGATGATAAGTGGTTGGCTCTTAAGTTACCCTTCACAGCTTCTGATTGCTCTCGGCTTTGTTTCCAGAAAGCTTAGATATCACTCTTTTTCTTTTAAACTCATATCATATCATACCTTTGCTACTTTGATTTGGAATTCTTGTTTTTTTCTTGTTTTATGATTTGGAAAGGCTTGGACACTGTGATGATGTTTAAAGGAGATTTTCTACTGTTTAAAGGAGAATGCATATGACGTTGCTTCATCTCGTCTATTTTCCGAACATCTGCACTTGCATCTGTCTCTTTTCAGTTATGCTCTGTTTGCCCTTGTTCTCGGTGATGCTCTGTTATAACCGAAGCGGTTTGATCACTTTCCTCACTCCTTTAAACTTTTCTCAAGAACCATTGCATTCTCCTTAATTAGTAATGTCCATTTAGAGTCTAAAGCTCTGCATCTTTTTTGTTGTTGTTCTATCGTCGAGGGAATGCAGAATATAATGAGCTTTGTGGAAGCATAATCTGGTTATTTTTTGGAAAATTACAGTAGTCCAATATTCAAATAACTTGAGTGGCTTCGTTTTAAGACAAAAAAGTGAAGACACTACCTATATATATATAAGTACAGTAAGATAAATTTTGCTTGAGAATCTCCATTTGATTCACACTGTGAAGTTGACATCTCAAAAGAACAATTTGCAATAAGCGCAAGGAGAAGATTGCAATTGTAATGACTATGTTATGGATGGAGACTAAAATTGCATTCTTTTGGCGTTTAGTGTGCTATAGGACTCGTAAATTGTGGGTTTTATTTATCTCTTGGATTAGCGAGACACTAGCTTACAAAGGAGACTTTCGTTCTTGCAGGTGATCGAGGATGATGTTTGTATGATGTCGTGGACGCACAGAACATGTGTTGGACTTGGACTAGTGCGGACATCTTTGAGTTTCTAGAGTCTCAAATGTAAAAGAAAAGAAGAGAAAATCGTATGAGAAACAAAGTGGAGTCTTGTCTCATAGATAGAGACTTGATGAATTATTTAGCGTGTGATTTCTTGTTACGTGTCTTTACTTTACTCTTTAGTGTGTATACTGCATATGGACTGGATCGTATGAAGATCTCTGAAGCATTTGTCAAAAAGGGTTCGGTTCTGATTGCAAAGTTGGGAACTTTCCGAGAAGAAGTTGTGATCGGGCAGTCAAGAGGTGGATCTCTAAAGAAATTGTCCAAAAGGGTTTGATTTCTTTGTTTTGGTTACAAGTTGGGAGCTGTCCCAGAAGAAGTTTTGCTCCTCTCAGTGAGATACAATCAAGAGGTGGATCCGGACTGGTCTCTGAAGCAATCTGTCAAAAAAGGATTTGACTTAAAGTAGAAAACTTGGGGATTTCGTTTTCTGGACGAGCTTAGTTTGACACATCTGCTTTGATTTATCATCACGTGATTACCAACAATCTTAGTGATTGGAACACAATGAGCAGGCACAACACCCTCCCCTAGCACACACTCTGCAACAAAAGAACACGAATCAGAACATCATTGACATATTTAGCTTACTGCTCAGTTTTAGCAGCATTAGGGACACTAATTTACTCCATTGACTTAGTATCCAAATCACCAACAGCATTATCCATAGCACTAGCTTTGTTGACACGTTCAAGCACCCTTAAACAAAGGTATACAGATTAGATTAACTTAGTATCACAAATTAACTTACATTCAGTACATATTTAGTACATATTAGATTAACTTACTATCACTGATTAACTTACATTATTGCATCAGCAGCTTTAGCTTTAGATTCTATAACTCAATCATCAAGTCCATCATCCGGCTATTTGCTGCTTCTACCACCATCGAACCAGTAGTGACTGGCTTGTAGTTCAGATCAATGTCAGTTACACTCCGTTATCATCACACGGCTACCAACAATCATAGTGCTTGGAAGACAAATGAGAAGGCACGACATCCACCCTAGCACCCATTCTGCAACAAAAAAACACGAATCAAAACATCACTGACAGATTTAGCTTAGTGCTAATTATCCAAAGTCCTAAAAAATAGCCTTTAAATTTTATTATATCACTAGATTATGATTCGTTGACACAAAATGAAGATTCTATGATTTCCTTAAGAAAAATTATTTTGCAATGTTTGAATCAGTCGATAAGGCCCATTATAAAAATTAAACGGGCCCCTATGATTTACTTAGGCTTTGTCCGGAATATTTCACGAGATAAAAGCGAGCTTCACATATTTTTACCAAATGTCTCTCTTATTTGATTCACTATACGCATCTCACATGCTTGAGAAGAAGAAAAAAAAGGTTAGAAATGATGTTACTGACTGAAAGTTGTAACCTCAACTGCTGAAAAGGCATGTGAAGAGAGATTATGAACACGACATTAATGTGACGAAGAAAGGTGGTGTAGCGAAAGCGTAACAGAAACCTTTGTGTCGTTGATTCAAAGAATAGCCGACAAAAAGAGTCTTCTCTCTAAACAATGGTTTGAAGAAGCAATTGATTGAAAGGAAAAGAAGTGCTTAGAAAGATCTGATTATCATTCAACGTATCTTTCTCTTTACAAGCTGCTTTCTATTTATACACAAAATAAAATAGCAGAACTGCAAGATTTGGTCAAGATCAAATTAAAATAAAATAGAAATATTCCCAAAAAGTAGGGCCAACAACTCTACAACGTAACGGTTTGATCACAAGATGCGTTGCATCAAAAGGTGAAGAGGCAAGCTCTTCGATTTCGATGTTGACCGAAGTAGTGACAACGAATTAGAACGATCATAAGCAGAGATATAGGAGTATTCTCGAGGATGTTTAATAAGAAGAATCAAGAAGTTGATTGAAAACTAGATTTTTTTTTTTTTTCAATT